GCACCTCCCCAAACCCCACCCCCTATCCCCAAATATAATCCAGTCTACAACCCTCATTGCATACTCCTACGATAAAAATAATGCCCTAAAATATAATACTTTTAGACTATTCTCTCCCCCATAGACTGCATCTTCTTTTAATGCATCCTGGATGATTCAAGTTTTGCTCAAAGCATCCTTCAGTATTTCAATTTGAGGCTTGATTTATCTTTCATTTCTTTAAGCTTGAGAAATGCTGAACAAGTTCTTCCCTTTTTATTCCAGCTTTCTGCACACTGTTTATAATATTTTGCTTTGTCTACTTGAGCTGCTCTTTGAAATCTTCTGCTCAATTTTACTTCAGCATCTCTTTCTTTTGTTTGGGCTTCTCAACAGTCTAATGCAATTTTCAGTGTCTATTCTGATAACCATTTTGAGGTTTTCTTACTCCTCTATCTTTGTAATGACCTTTTTCTCTCTTCATGGATAATATCATTGATGTCACCCCATAACTCATCTGTTCTTTGATCATTGGTATTCAATGCCTCAAACCTACTCTTAAGATGATTTTTAAATTCAGGTGAGATATACTCAAGATCATGTTTTGGTTCTTGTTGACTTGTTTTAAATTTTTTTTTTCGGCCTCAGTTATAACTTGATGATTTTAACAGGATCCACAGTCAGCACCTGGTCTGGTTCTTACTGCTTATATTGAGTTTTCCCAACAATTTCTTCTACAGATGTAGTCACTCTTATTCCTGTCCAGTTCATCATATGAGGTCCATGTGTAAAGTCACCTTTGGTAGTTGGGATTTTTTTTTAAAAAAAAAAAAGGTATTTGCAATGAATAAATCATTGAGTGTATAAAATTTTATCATTCCGGCTTCATCTCTTTCACCAAGTCCAGGCTTCCTTCATTCATTCCTTCATTGTTTCCTACGTCTGCATTCTAGTCACCAGTTATCATTAACACATCTTGGTCAATTCTGGACTGCAAGATTTGCTAAAAATCTTCAATTTTATCTTCTTTCGTTTTAGTTTTTGATGTGTATATTTGAGTAATAGTCATATTAACAGGTCTTCCCTGTTAGTATCTTATCACTCACAACATTGTGCTTCAGGATAGAATTTAAAATTCTCTTTTTGACTGTGAATGCAACACTATTCTTCCCTAGTTTTTTATTCTAAACATAGTAGATCATGTGATTGTCTGAATCAAAGTGCTAGTGCCAGTCCATCTCATCTCACTAATGCTGATGATGATGTTCATATGTTCCATTTCCATTTTTTTACAACTTCTACTTTTCCTATATCTATACTACACACATTCCATGTTCCAAATATTAAAGGATCTTTGCAGCTGTTTCTTCTCATCTTGATTGACTTCCAGTCTGGGCTCTTACTCTAATACTATAGCTACCTATGTTCCTCTGTTGTTTGTAGGGGTTTCAGAAGCCTGTTATTTCAGAAGTTGTTGGCCAATCCTGCTTCCTAGTTTGTCCTAATCTGGGAGTTCTCCTGAAATCCATCCACTACAGGTGACCCTTGTAGTACTTGACATACTGGTGGTATAGCTCGCATCATCACAGCAACCCAAGTTACCCCAGTTCAGCAAAATAACAGACACTTGCTGTCTCATGGGTACCAGATTCCTGCTAAGGCCCAGGAGCCTAGCAAGTCTGGGGTAGGATGGGAATTATGCAAGTTACAGCCTATGAAATTCCACTGGAGGGCCTACTATGAATTAGTTCCAACTTAACGGTACATAACACAACAATATAACTACCAAGAATATGGTGACATAGTGCATTAAGTGTCACCTTATTAACCTAAAGGACTTAATCCACTATCTGCACCATGGAAGAAAAACGGACAGTTTTCTCCCATGAAGATTTGCAGCCTTGGAAACCCAATGGAGGATCACTGTATCAGGATGTACTTGAAAGCGGTCAGTTGGTCTTGGTTTTAGTTCATCTAGCTATGGAGAATCAATGACCAGAAAACAAATGAAAAGACTAGAAGATAGGAGAGGAAAAAATGAGCAAATGAAATTTATCATCAGGCTGATGCTCTTAAATCTATAATTTGTTCTTCCGTGGTAATTATGAGACTCTTTGATCTACAGGAGAAGGAATTCCGAGACCAGATCACAGCCCAAAATGATATCTTGCTCCTAGAAAAAAGAAAACTTCTCGAGCAACTTGCAGACCAAGAAGAACTGAGTAATAACAATAAGTGGATGATATCTTCAGTACAAAGCAAGTATGTGCAACCCTGCCTAAAAATCCGATGAAATCCATAAAAAGAATGTTTGTCATTACTATGTGCCATAGAGTTGGAAGCAACTCATAACGGACCTTCCAGTGGGTTTTTAAGGGCTGTAAATCACATGGGAAGAAATTGCCCAGCTTTCTCCTGGGGAGCAGCTGCTGGATTTGAATCATGGTGCTTCTGGGTTGTCAGCATAACAGCTTGCCATGAGACCACTAAGGCTACCTGAAGACAATGTTTATGCCTCAACAAAGAAATTGTTACTCGGATTGTTCTTTGCTGTCTGCTGTGGTATGCTTCTGTAAAGATTGTTGTTGTTGTTGTTGTTGTTGTTGTTGTTGTTCAGTGAGTTAACTCCAGCTCTTAGTGGCCTAACAATTAGTACAACAGATCTAAACCTTTCCCAATCCTGCTGCACCATCCTCACAATCTTCACCAACTCAAACCCATTGTTGAAGTCACTGTGCCAATCCACTCCACTGAGGGTCTTATGGAGCCATTCTACTCTGTCACACGGCCTCACTATGGGCCTAAAATTGACTTAACATCACCTAACAGCAACAGAACTCAGTGGCAAACAAGATGTGGTCTTCAGCCACCTGGCCCTAAACTACACTGTAATAGTCTGAGGAGAGATTTGCCAAGCCAGAACTCTCTTGTCTGCTGCTTTGGGCATACTCTTCTCTGTGGATGCCTCAAGACCATTGATCTACTGTCTAAGTGTCCTCTTTTATATACTCCATATAAACTATTGCGCTTTTCAAGCTATGACATTGCTTAAGATATATAGGGCTTAAGGGAGCTCTGGTGGCCTAGTGACAAGATGCTGTGCTGCAATCCTGAAGGTGCTTGGTTCAAATCCACCAGATGCTGTGCTGGAGAAGGAGGGACAATCTCCTTCTGTACCAGCCAGATCCAATTTGATGGTACACACACACACACACACACACAAAAGAAGAAAATTTAAAAAATATATACGTACAGGGTTTAATACAACTGATTTTTTACCCTTTCTTTAACTGCTTTGGACTCTTGAAGACACAGTCTGGTCCCCTGGATTGAACTTAAATATTTTCAAAAAGTAAATTTCTCCCACAGAATGTTTCCTCATTTTACTGAGAAGGAAAGTGAGGCTCTAAGTAATCTGACAGAGTCAAATTTTTATAAGGGTCACATAACTAGTAGTGAGTAGAAAATACAGAACTCAAACACAAGTTGTTGTTCATAACTCTTACAGCTTCATGTCTCTCAAATAAACAGTGGTTTGGCAATCTGGGTAGTGGTTAAGAGTTCAGTCTTATAAATCTGAAAGATTTGGGTTAACATCATAACCTTATCACTTTATATTCTAAAACAAGTTATTTTTCCCCCTCTGAGCCCCAGTTTCTACTTCTGTACAGTAGACTTCATATCAGTATTTTATGAGGTGGTTGTGAGAATGAAATTAACAAATATATTAAATGTTTTAAGTGCCTACTGTGTGAATAAGTCACAATGACTGAGTAAAGGGCAAAGAGTTACTGATACTACTGCTATTTTTCTAGTATTTCTATTTCTACTATTTCTTCTTCTTTGGCTGCTGCTATTCACCACTGCTATTGCTTCACCTTCTTCTTCAGCTGCTGCTTCACCACTGCTATTGCTGGAATACATGATGATTGTTTGGGATCAGAATTACAAGAAAGTTAGGTCATTACAGTAGCTGGATTAATACAGAATCCCATTTCCATCCTACTCTAAGTTTCTTAAAGCCTGGCTAGCACACAGTATAGCTCTGTTCTCAGTGAATAATTATCATATACTGGATAGCACATAGTATAGCTCTGTTCTCAGTAAGTAATTATCATATACTGGTTTATTCATTTCACTTAGTCTTGGAATATGGTGAAAATGATTCTACCAAATTTGGTGACTAGGTATAGGGCAAACTGTTACCAGACAGTAGACAAAGACCTAAAGACAGTGAGAAGTAAACCACAGTTTTGGATTTTTTACCAATGATGCAGAAATTCCTAATTGTGACTTTGATTTCTTTTTAGAGTAAATTTCCTGGATAAAGAAAACAGGCAATTACAGGAAAATAGTATTCGCCTCTCACAACAAATCAGTCTTTTAGAGCGCATTATAAGGAGCTTCCAGATTCACAGAGGAGAGGTAAGATATTTGATTCCTATTGAGTCTTTAATATGAAGTTTGGCCTGCTAAACTTGCCATGCTCTCTTTCCTCCTTCTTCTTAAAGCTGCTCTGCTCTTAATGTGGGGCAGTGGGTGGGATGGGTGGTGTGGAGTGCAGTTTAATAGAAAGACTCATCAACTACACACCAGGGCTAGCTTTGCTTTCTATTGGGCCAACTTTTATTAACTACTTCTGTCCTGACACCAATGAGATTTGTATTTGTCTCAAACATCACCCTCAACACAATATGATGTCATTGTCTTTTTACTTCTCTACCCCATCAACTCAGCAGTGAGCTCCTGGAGAGCCATTTGTCTCTCATGCATAATTGTATCTGTGGACAGGTACTGCATAAATACTTCAGATGAGTGGATGCTTGCTGTTTTCACATGTAAGCCTCAGCTACATTGGTTTACGTGTACAGCTATAAATAAATACTATAAATGAGTGGCTTTAAGGAAAACAAAGGTGTTTTTTTTCAGTGTAGACAGCTAGAAGTTCAAATTCAGGGCTCTGGTTCTATGGGAATTCTCTCTCTTTTCTGGTGGAAAAGCTTTTTCACTGTTCCGCTTCTTTTCCAAGATTGCTTGGTAATCACGTGATAATAGCTTCTCTTGTGTTGTGTTTGCTTTCTTAGTCTGTACTTTCATATCTAAAAAGAGATTAAAATACACCCTACATTAACCCTGCTTCATTGACAAAACAAAAAAATTAATTTCCAAATGTGAACCCCAGGTACAGGGCAGAGGATGTTAACCACATGTGTTTTGGAGGGATGCAGTCTAGTTTATAACATCCATCATAATATAACCATCTAAGTGATGACACATCTGAGGCTTAGAGAAGTGGATCTAGTCTGATCTGGCAAAGAATTAAGACTAAAGTGAGCATGTAGGGGAGCTCTGGTGGCCTAGTGGCAAGGAGCTGCAACTACAATCCCAGAGGCTCACGGTTCAAATCCACCAGATGCTCTGCCGGGAAAGGAGGGACAATCTCCTCCTGTACCACTCAGATCTGATTTGACAGTACACTCACACAAAAATTAAAAAAAAAAATAATAAAGTGAGCATGTGAATCAAAGGATCATAATTTTTTCAAAAATCATGTCCAAAAAATTCAAGCACTTAACAGCCAGTTCCAGAGACATAGTACACAGGTTCAGGATCTGGCTGGTAAACAAGAATGACTTCAGTGTGCAAAGCTGCATCCTGGGTCCACAGTAGAGGCTGCTTGTTCTCTTCCTATTTTATGTCACTTTTTTAGATATTTGTCCTAGGATCTTTTTCAGTAAGTCTGCTTGTTCGGCACTATTGCCATGAATGTAAGACTTACATCTTGCTCATTCTCACAAAGATGATTGTTTTTCCATATTTTGTGAGTTGCTTTGCAGACTTTGTGGAAAGCACAAACACCACATCATGTGGATTAATTCCCAAAAGTTTTCATCCTTGCTCAAAATACAGCTGTTCTGAATTTTCTTGTGTTTTATAGACTACACAAAAGCTGTGTGGATCATAACAGTTTATGAGCAAAATTACAAAGAAGGATGTCTTCATAATCTAGTGTTTCTCTAGCAAAAAATCCACAGATGGATGACCTTAACAGGCAGAAACATATTCTCTCACCATTTCCCTCTCTCGTTGCTAGCAAGTTGGAATTGACTCATAGCTGACTCTCCAGCAGATTTTTAGAGGATGCAGATCTTATGGGAGAAGATTGCCTATCTTTCACCATTGAAGCAAATGGTGGATTTGAACCACCTGCCTTCGGGTTGTAGCACATTTATTCACTATCCTACCAGAGCTCTCACAGTTTAGAAGGTTGTTGTTGTCGTTGTTGTCGTTGTTGTTGTTTTTATGTGCCATGGAGTCACATGCAATTTTTAGCAACCCTATGTACAATTGTTCACAGCTTCAGTTTGCTCAGCTCCACAGTCAACACTCTTGGCACCAGCAGTCAGGAAATCAAAAAGCGTATAGCGATGGGAAAGTCTGCTGTTAGGGACCTCTCTAAAGTACTCAGGAGCAACAGTGTCTCTCTGGAGACTAAGGTGCGCCTGATACAGGCCATGGTATTTGCAATCGCTTGTTATGCATCAGAGAGTTGGACAATGACTAGGGAGGACAGAAGGAGAGTGGATGCTTTTGAGCTGTGGTGCTGGAGAAGGGTACTGAATGTACCCTGGACTGCCAGGAAAACAAACAGATTTATCTTGGAGAGGATTAAACCAAGCTACTCCCTGAAGGCAAGGATTCTGGGGCTTCGTCTGACATACTTTGGACATGTTGCCAGGAGGGACGGGTCCTTGGAGAGGGACATCATGCTTGGGGAGGGTTGAGGGACAACGCAGGAGGGGAAGACCCTCTATGAGATGGATTGATTTGGTGACTGGGGTAATAGGGATGGGTGTGTCAGAGGCAGTGTGGTTGGCGCGGGATAGAGGAGGGTTTAGGGCTGTTGTGCATAGGGTCGCTATGAGTCGGAAACGACTCGATGGCACATAACAACAACAACAACAACAACATGTACAATAGCTCTGAACTCTATCCTATGTGAGTCAGTCTCACTGTCCCTGACACACTTTACTCCAGTTACTGTGTTAATGCATCTCATCCAGGGTCTTCCTCTCCTGCATTGACTTTCTGAGCTTCAAACATAATGTCCCTCTCCAAGGATTGGTTCCTCCTGGAAACAAGTATTTGAGACGGAGTTTCAAAATCCTTGTCTCCAAGGAGCAGCTTGGTTTCACCCTCTCTAGGACAAACTTTTTGTTCTTTTGGTAGTCCAGGGTATGTTCAATACTCTTCTCCAGCACAACACAAAGGCATTGATTCTTCTATCATCCTTAGTCATTTGCCCACCTCTCTGAAGCATAGAAGCAATTGTGAAGACCATGGCCTGGATCAGGTGCATCTTATCTTAATCTATAGACTAATATCATTGCTCTTTAGCACTCTGGAGAGGTTCCTGACAACACAATTTGAGGACTTCTTGACAACCTTTGATTTGCAGATACAACTTGCTTGCTAAAAATGAAGAGACTATGAAGCACTTACTGATCACAGACTACAGCCTTCTGTATGGATTTATACCTCAGCATGTTGTTATGTGCCATCAAGTCACCCCTAAACCCTGCCCTATCTTGTGCTCAAAGGCATCAATTCTCCATCATCCCTAGTAATTGTCCTTAACATACAGAAAACAAAAATCCTCACAACTGAGTGAGCAAACAACATCAACATAAACAGAGTTGAAGTTGTCAAAGATTTCTTTTCTTTAGATCCACTACCAATGCCTATAGGGAGCAGCTCTGGTGGCTTAGTCGTGAGGAATTGCACCAGCTGCTCCATGAGAGAAAGATGGGCAGTCTCCTCTCACGTGATGCACTGCTTCTGACAACCAATGGGAGAGTCAGCTATGGGGGGGTTCCTACTTGATGGGACACAACAAACAATAAAAACAAATCAGAGTTCCAGCAGAGAACGCAGCGAGGAGGGAGTGACGTCTAAATTCTCCAGTCTTTGGGGGATCCGGAGCCCTCCAGGTCCTCCGGCCTTGGTCAAGCTGGCAGGTTAACTGGGGGTCCCAGTGGCGGCCTCTGCCCTGAGGAGTCAAAACCCTCGCTGCAACTGCCCATAGGCCTCCCCTTGGTCTTGAGGCAGAGGCGAACCCTCTTCGTTACCTAATGGCAGCGGAAGCAGCCTCTCCAAGGCCGCACTTGACTCGTGCTTGTCTCCAGGTCTGGCCCGGCCCAGCCCAGCAGCAGCGAAGCCTGGGCCAAGGTGGCGAGGACACGGCGCCTGCGGGCTGCGGACGTGGCGGAGGGAGAAGAATGGCGGCGCCCTGACTTCTCGGAAGGCAGCTCCGTGAGGGCGGGCCTCAACGGATGCCAGCTCAGCCACTTCTCAGGCCATGGACCCTAATGAATGGTTCGTTAAGCCCCAGCTCTGTGATAAACGGCCGAGACGCCACCTCATCGCATATAAAGGCCTTACGGGGCGAGGAAAGTGAGTGGAGCTCGGACGCGGACAGGTGGAGCGCCTCGCGGCCCTTGGCGGTGGTTCCACCAGAGCCTGTGGTTGGGAGAGGGACGCAGGGGACTGACCAGTACGAAATGCCGGCCACCCCGCTGAGAAGATTTCTGGCCATTTCTGGAAGCCTGTGTAAATAATAGTGAAAAGCTGCTCTTAAACTCCTCCCCCACTTTAAAAAAGAAACCCTTGTGTCACATCTACGCCTTCAGAAGTAAAGAGGTTGTTGACATATCAGAAAAGTCAATAGAAGTCACTCTTTTGGGAAACAACCATTTGTTTAAAAACAAACTGGGAAAGAATTGTCTTTTGGGGAGATTTTAAGTGGGATTGTGGCTCCACCTCCAGGAGCCACAGCTGGAGGGCCACGGGCTCGCTGGGGGTCAAGGGGGTTCGAGGAAATGGATGAGGCCCTGATGATGCAGAAGGGGAACAGCGCAACCAACCAGCCGGCCTCGGAAGACATGTTCACATTATCGCCATTGTTGTGTATGTACATTGATAATACTGCTGTATATATAAGTGACAATAAGAAGTACATTTTGGAGAGAATCTAGTCTTTGGAGACATTGTTAAGTGCCTGATAATATGTTGATTAGTTGTAAACACATCTCGTAAATTTTTCGTCTGAAAATTAATAGCAGGTCCTGGGTAGGGGGTGTTTAAGGGGCCTCAGCCCCCCACTCTGGACAGGGCACGCTCAGTAAGGCTCTGTGTGTGCCAACGTTTATAGTGAAGCAAGATTAACCATTGTGCCTGTGTTGGTGCATTGTCTCTGAGTTTTGTGGTTCTTTTTTTTTTTTTTTTGTTTTGTGGTTCTATAGTGTATATAAGCATTTGATGAA